GTGCAACATATAAAAAAATTAATTTACATTACAATACGTACCAGATCATTCCGCTAGTACATGTTATGATTATAATCCCACCATTTTATTATAAAAAATGGTGTGGGATTATAATCATAACATGTACTAGCGGAATGATCTGGTACTGTAAATTAATTTTTTTATATGTTGCACACCGGGTGAAGGATCAGTCGTGTAACATCGACGTTTCCTCCTGTTGAAATTTAATGTTAATAACGCATGAATGCATTAACAATTAAGTCTCTCACTTCTCTAGATCAAATTTCTTCCGCTTCAAAGAAATTCATTAAACTTTCTTTACACGATGTCATCACTAGAGGTAGTTAAGCCGACAGAGAGTAATTTTGTTCTCCCAACAATACTTGAGAACGAAGAAATTTATAGCGAGCCTGGTACTCTTGAGAATCGTTCTGCTCAAAAACCCTCGATTTCTGGTAACACTATAATTGCTGAAAAAAATAATACATCCCCCTTACTTAATGTTCCTAATCGTCTCGGAACTCGACCTAATACTCCAGACACTGATATAACTGCGGTTGACTCAATAAATGGCGCATCAGAATCACCTTTGGCACCTTCTTCTTCACAACCAAGTATTAATGGTCGATCACGAACACCTGATCCCGGTAAAAAAACGTTTCGAAGTGTCCGAAATAAGGCTAGCAGCTCTTCACTTAGTTCTCGCGCACCTTCAAGGAGTCGTTCAAATACTCCGGACCCAGATAGATCTAATAGCCAAATAAGACGAAAACCTAGTCAACAGTTATCGCCAATTGATGGTGAATATGAAATGAAACCATTTAAAGAGCCACTTACGAGTAGTAATTTCATTCATATAGGAGTTCCTGGTGAAATAAATCTTCCAACTGCTAATGTGCGTGAAACTACCATTGGAGTATTTCATATTTTTAATCCTACTGACAATATAGTTTCGTGGGGGTTTACTCAAGTCGACAGACCCTTGTTTCGTCGTTTAGGAACTGCTACAAATGCATCACAAAAAGTGGACGATGATATTTTTGTTATTACAAAGTTGGGAGGTGTTCTAAGACCAAAAAATGCAGAGAGGGTTGATGTGAAATTTCGACCTATGGGAGTAGGAACATATATGCAAACATTTGTTTTAGAAGATACATCAGAAGGTGGAACTGGTGGTGTAGACGCAGTTAGCATGAAGTTCCAAGGGGTTGCAACGGAAAATACCTTTAGTTCACTATTGCAAAAACATAGGGCTCCAAAAAAGGAAGTAAAATTTGAAGTTGATGAGACAGAAATTCGAATTCCAGCTACAAGAGTTGGGAAACAGCGTTCAATGGGGATTAAAATAACTAATGTTGCTAAGGAAGCAATTAGACTTTCTTGTAAATGCGAAACAACAACGGGCCCTGGAGGCAAGTTTGTTCTATCACTTCCTATGAATAGTGTTGTAGTTAAGCCTGAGGGATTCTCCATTATACCCGTACGTTTTCAACCAAGAGCGGTTGGCGAAGTAAAGGGTGTTGTCACAATACATGCAATGAATAATGCTGAAGTCAAAGTGGATGTAGTTGCTAAAGGAATCTTAGATCCAACTCAAACAACTCAAACAACTTAAGTTTTTATGAAAAGTATTTCCTTAAAGATTCACATAATCATAATTTTTTAGACAATAGATCGATACATAGATATTTGTCTCTTTTTTTTTTTTTTTGTAGTTGCTCTTTCTTGTAGAATATTTTTTTTTTTAATATACGGGGCAGAATCATCTGTTTATAATTTTTTTCATCATTTTTACAACGTTATTTTGTACTTTATAATTCAATCCTTTGATGCCATACATAGTTTTTATGCCATGTTCACGATTTTCTAATAGTCCCATTATTCAATAATCACGAATTAAATAGAATGAATGTACATTCTTTGCAATACCCTTTTTAATGGGTTAACAAAAAAAAAAAAAAAAACTCGATAGATGGTTATGTTTAAACTCACTACCGGTAACCGATCCAAATCTACGACTTACTAATTATTAACGCCGCCAATAATCGAGCCATGATACAACGCACTGCAACGGCACTATATACGGAGATGTGAGAAAAGCTTTACTATTTTGTAATGAAATTACGCAAGTATAGTAGCCGAAATTACATAAACACAAAAAAAAAAAAATTTGTGCACACTCGTTTATTAATGACCAAAGAATTTTCATTTATAAATCAAAAGATTTATTTAAAAAAAAAAAACTCGTATTATCGTGTATTAAATCGACCGAAGAAAAAAAACATCGAATAAAAAAAAAAACAATTATTTATTAATCTTCAACTAAATCGAACTGCTAAAATTACTATTAAATAGTACTATTACTTTACCAATATTGTATTATTATTATTCCCGGCACTATATAATATTGTTCAGTTATTCATCGCTAAAACAACGTTCACCTTGGGAAATCTTATCATTACCCCACCATTCTGGAAATGGTATCTTAAGAAAGAATAGACAATGATATGTGAAAATCAGCATGAAATTGCAGCTGTAACAAAAAAAAGTTTGTATTAGATGATCAACTTACCTTAAAAACACCATTGAGACAAAAGAAAATAGTCATTGTCGCAATTTGTGCAGCACTGTCAAATGCCGCTGATAATACGTAATTATACCTATCATGCATAAATAGGCATATAAAATAGTGAATCAGTATTACTTCACACTGTCATTAAACCCTTAACACTAAACGCACTTTGTCCACCATCTATAAATAAAGTAAAAATATATACAAATTAGTATAATTATTATTAATTTGCTTTTTTCAAAGTTATGTAATAATGAGTCGACCTTAAGCTTACCGAGTTTTATACCGATACGCGTAATACTGACTTAAAAAGCTAGCAATAATTCCTGAGATTATAAAATTTGTATAAATTCCGGGAAGTATGCTTAATCCAATGCATATCAATGGTATATTCACAAGATCAAATCTAGCCTTTGGAAATTTTCGGTGAAGTAGGTAAAATGGTACTGGCGCAAAAACACCAATAAGAAAACCCCAGAGAAGTATGCCGTACATTGAGTCACGCTATTGAAAATAAAGATGTATGAAATTAATATGCAAATAAGGAAAAAATGTTTATTAAATTGACTTACTCCAAACGTTCTTGCAGGTCCAATCAATCCCCATACTATAGATGCAGTGTTGAATATTTGTGATTGATATCCTGTGAACTATTTATGCAAAAAATTATTAAGGATAAAATTTCTGAAACTAACCAGAGATAATTAAAAGAAACATACTTGACCAGTTGGATCACTCAATGTGCCATCAATATAAGGTCGTTTTGTCGCGATTATGAGATTCAATATCCAATAATTTACAAATCCGCCAAGAATTGTACCCCATAATTGGGCTATAAACATACACTTCGGAGGGACTTTCATATAATGACCTTTTTAGTAGCGAAAAAAAACAGTTGTCATAAATCAGGTTAATTACATAATAAATTTTAGAAAATTATACATACCCAATTTTAGATCAGAGACAAGTAACAAACATTGAACCATTGCCATATATCCATAACATTTAAAATATATATTGGCAATTGGACGGCCAGGTAAAACATAACCGCACACCATTTCGGTTATCACATTTAAACCGATCTGATTATTTGAAATAGCTTGAATAACGCCTATTGGAAAATAGAGCGTATTTTAAATTACGTACCTAAATATAAGATTTTGTGTATAATACATTTTTTACACGCACCTACAGGAAGCACCATGCCTATGGCCAAAGAAATCGCCATTAATAATCCCCACCAAGGTAAATTCGCATCGGTTGTATAGCAGAGAATCATTGCGATTATTAACATGATAATGAAAATTAACGCGTACCAAGTATTTGGTATTTCTGTTATATAAGCAATATATGCGTATACATATAATAATATCAATATAACCCTTTTTTTTCGAGATTAATACCGAAAAGATTTAATATCAACAAAACCTGGATAATTATTCATCAATTTGCAATGAATATCATCTAGTTCTTCCTCACGACTAGCTTTGAATCGTTGCCAAATATCTTTACCGTAAAATAAGAACACGTGACTGAGTACCGCAGAAAGTCCGATAAAAGAGTAAAGATAAGAAAGGGCAAATGTAACGGATAGGTACACTGGACTATAATTCTCATAAGCCGTAACATTGAGAGATCCAGTCGAATGATCTATTATTGCAGATTGGTTGTATCTGAAAAAAAAAGCAACAATGAATGTGATAAATTGATATACTGTAATTAATTAGAAATTGCTTACCTTTGACCATATTTGTCCAATGAATAAGTAGCAAGGAATGGAAAATTTTGAGCGTCACTAAATAAAATTTTTAAATTAACTTTTGAAAAATTCATTATATACCTAAATATCGAACTAAATAACTACTCACAAAACATTATAGTAATAGGCTAACGGAGCGATAATCCACGCACTAATGATGATACCAGAATATATATTCACTTGAGCCCACCTGAATTACAAAATTTATATCTATCACATACCATACTAAAAACAAAATAAACATCGAATGTAAAGTCTATATTACCAGGGAGTATACAAAGGACCAAGCTGTCCAATAGAATTCCAGTCCAATGAGAAATTAAGAATACCAACGCCGTGATATCCACTCCCTAATCGTTTAATAATTTTGCTAGACGGTGCGATAAGACACAATAGAGCCATGCTAGTCAACCAAGTAAACATATATTGTGGTACAAATTGCCAAACAAACATGGCAGTAAAGGCAATAGCAAAAAACTTAATCTTGTCACGTGTTTCAGAAACGTTGCCATGTAACGTGTTGTACATAGATGCGTAGACAAGATTCGAAGGCCATATCATATTAGCAGGACGGACTAAGTCTAAATATAGTATTATTGAGATAAATTTAATTAACATTAAATGTAAGACGAGAAGTCATCAGTTACCGCGAGTGATACTTACATTTACGAAGAAATCCAGCTAGCCCATATCCAAGAATTTGTGTGCTCATCAATAACAAAAATCCATTGAAGAAACTGACTTTAGTATTATAGAAAAGATCTTTGATAGCGATAATATCCTACATGAAAAGAATGAAGATACAATAAGGATTAGTCAACATGAAAACGAGGATTAAAAGACAATAATAATAAATTAAGATCATACCGTAGCATACGCAGATCCACCTCCCGCAGCAGCCGCAACAAATATACACACGTGTTCCTTTACATTGAAAGGACCTGTAACATCGTTACACAACGTGGGAAGTTTAACAAACGACCACGGATACGTACAAATATTTGTTAACAAACCTGAATTGAGACTAAATTTCCAGTTTTTAAATTGAAAAGTTCGTGTAGGTAGAAATTTTTCCATCCACATTCCCAAAATATATGATACAAGTAATACAAAAAACATGGAATAAGCACCACCATTTGAACGAAAGTAGTAAAATTCTGATAGCGTGGCACCTAACGATGTGAACAACTATATGAAAATTCGCAATCAACATGATTACTAAAAATCACATGCTTTTTTTTTATACAGAAAATTCTAAAGTTGCTGTATAATAGCTTTAGCAAATAAATGATAAAAATCAGATTTCCCATACTACACAATTTAAGACTTACGCTACTTAACACCCAAAACCGAAAAGTTAAGCATGGTAATGTCGGATCATCTCTTGTGCTAACAGCCTAAAATTTTCGGATCAAAAAACTTAAATATAATATAATTAATGAAAGGATAATAATAATCGATATTTGATAGTTTACCGCTGCGACCATAGGAATGTGAGAATTTTCATAATCTAATTTCTTTTCAAAATCTTTTTCTGGATCATGAACTTTTCTACTATCGGCAGTATCAATGACACTAATATCCCCTTCAACAAAAGTTGAAGCTATTCCATCATCCTTTTTGCTAGCTGAAAGGCTTTGTTTATCCATATCCATCGTGAAAAAAATCTAAAAATCAAATTTCAATTTATTGCTATCTCATCAAGTATCTCGTGTAGTAGTTATTATCTTTTGAAACAGATTGGTTATTCTCACAATCGCGAGTTTTTAATCAATTTATTTAATGTTAATAATAAATATGTATGTTTGAAACCGTTTAATTGTACAGTGTTACTAGCGCTAGATCCTAGGTTCTTTTACAGAGAGAACATATTTATACATAAGATAAATATTTCAGTGATAAAATTCAAATGATGCCGATTTTATCGTACTCAGGTTTATTGAAGCAAAAAAGGTATATTATTGATATATTACATTATATACTGTATATTTATCATAATATACATCACCAGTATTACTAAAAGAAAGCCTAATTAATTTAATATGATGGCTTCGTTCACCTCGTGACTATAATTCGAAAAACTTTTAACAATAGCGCTTATCTGATAAGTTATGTACGTACGTGTTTCAATGGTAGCTGCAAGTTTACGCCGGACCGAATGATATACTCCAGAATATTTCCATATCAATGTTATTGGTTTTTTTAATGACTTCCTGAAAATATATTAAAAAGTGTATACATATATCTAAGACAAGAATTTATCTAACGCCTTCTTATGGCTCAATCAATAACCGATTACTTATTA